CAGCGCTCAGGCAGGATTGGGATTATTGGGCTGGGCCTCACCTCGTGGGGCTTGGGTAGCAGACAGTAGGTCATGGGCACTGTTGTAATCACCAGAGAAGCAGGCAGGCAGGCTGGTAAGGCAGGAGGAACACTCCAGAAATACAAGAGTTCTCACTAGGACCCGGTGGGCATGTGTGGCAGGCAAGCCCAGGCTCTGCCCTTGGCAGAGAGGACGGCCACTCCGTGCAAGGGCCCCCAACAGGACTCGAAGGCGCGGTGACAGCCGATGCCATCCTTCAGACGCACTCCTGTGAGCGCGGAAGCCCTGGGGGAGAGGCACTCATCCAGGAGTTCATGGCAGACGAGGATAGAAACGGACTCGAAACCCGGGGCCTGCCCCAGAGTCAGTGCTCCTCCGGCCTCACAGTTCACTCAGACAGCTGGTCCCTGGGCGAGGCTCTGCCAGTCCACGCTGGCTTCCCAGCTGCTCCAGGGAGAGCCCGTCATCTTCAGGGGCCACTTCCCCTCTTCTGCCTATCCTGCTCCTATCTGTACAAATGGAGATTGTAGACCATGAAAGAGGCAGCAGAGAGAAGAGGCCACAAAAAAGAAGATGGAAAACAGCCGATGAGGGAAGCTGAGCCAGAGTGCGCGACAGGCATGCGGCTGCCTGTGGGAAGCCCTGGAGTAGGCATCCAGGCCTGGACGGGCAGTGCCACACACTCAGTGGTAACCAGGGAGGAGCTGGCACCCGCTTGAGCATCCACTGACATGGTCCAGCCCCTCAGCATAGGGAAGTGAGTGCATGGGCATGGAGTCTGGCACCACCTTGTTGCTACAGGTACCGTCGGGAGGGTTGCTGAGTGTGAGTGTGTGTGTGAGTGTGTGTGTGTAGGCTGACTGTACCCAGAGGTTCCGTTGGCAGGGTTGCTGAGTGTGTGTAGGCTGAGTGTGTGTAGGCTGAGTGTGTGTGTGTGTGAGTGTGTGTGTGTAGGCTGACTGTACCCAGAGGTTCCGTTGGCAGGGTTGCTGAGTGTGTGTAGGCTGATTGTACCCACAGGGCCTCAGGAAGGAGAGAACAGGAATGTCCTCATGTGTGTTTTGTACAAGCTGTAATGTCATCTACCAAAGAGAGGGAAAAACACGGGAGAAGGGAGAGGAAGAGCAAGAGGACCAGTGCAGAACTGCCCCTGATGACATCCGCCATTGACCCACACCCACCTTTCTCCCCAGGACCCTGCCGGTGCCCGCATGGCTGCCCAGAGTTCCTGTACCCCAGGCCCTGTCACCCTGACAAACTATGGGCACCCATCACAGGGAGGGTGTCCAGGGTGGGCGGGGCATAGAACAAGGTGACATAGAATCAGTGTTCAGAAGATGGTGGAAACAGCGTCCCCCAGGCAGGGGTGGACGCAGTAGGGTGAACAGCTGATGTTCACATCTCTGGCCCATTAACACTGCCATGACGGCTCCCTCCCACCCCCAACCCCGAACGCACGCTGCCCAGAGGTCGGTGTGAAGCGAGGGTGAACGTGGGCGCGCACGCTGCTCCTGTGGTTGCAGAGTAAATGGGGAGCCCCCTTCGATGGCCAGTTTCCAGAGCTTTCCAGCCACAGCAGTCGGCTCTGCCTACTTTCTCTCCCTCTTTTCATCAGCATCTTTCCCTGCCGCCCGCCCGCCTCGCCCCAGCCCCAGGACTCGAGGGTCACTTGACAACAGGTAATAGCAGGCGTTTCCTCGTCCTGTGACAGGACATCCTGGCGCCCCGCAGTCTCTCCCTGGCTTTAAAACAGACCCGAGAACAGGAAAAAACCCAGCGCTAAATTTAGCAGGGTGAAAGAAGAAAGGCACATAGCTGCTCTCTGTACTGTTTGTCAATGAAACAAGTCTAAACAGGCCAAATGCATTTCCTTTTTGGGCAAAACAGACCTGTCAGGCACGATGCTCAGGCACCAGGGGGTAAAGCAGCCTGCGGAGGAGGGGCACCCCCTAAACGTCTGCCCAGGCCCAGGCCCCTGCCTTGTGCTCTGCCATTTTCTGCCATTGCCCCAGCCTGAGGATTTCAGGACAGAGACTGCTCAGTCCTTTCAGACACCAGCCCAGAAAACTCAGGTGTTCCCATATTCCCCTTCAGGGTCCTTACTGCTCAGCACAGCTCCTGAGGCCTGCCCCCAGCAGTTCAGTTTTAGCTAATGGGGAGCTTCAACCCAGTTTTATTTCCTGTAATACCTTACGTGGAAGCAGCTCTGCCTTCTCCTGAAACAGGAGTTGAGGAGGCCAGTTAGGAGTCCTGACAGGCCAGACCGCAGCAGTCCTCCGATGACGCCAGCGAGTCTCGGGGACGGCTAGTGAGACACGGACGCGCCGGGGCTGGTGGCGGAGCCCGTTACCCTAGCTACACAAGAGGCCCACACCTGAGGGTTGCGGTTCGAAGCCATCCCAGGCAGGAAAGTCCGTGAGATTCTTATTTGCAATAAACTACTCAGAAATGGCACTGTGGCTTACTGGGTAAGCCTGAGCTTGAGCTCAGGGACAGTGCCTAGGCCATGATTTCAGGATCCAGGATAATGCACAACAGCAAAGAAAGAAAGAGAAGGATTAATTTGATTATCCTGATAGTTGTTACTTTTGAAATCAAGAACTATTACTTTTTTTTTGTCGGTCGTGGAGCTTGAACTCTGGGCCTGGGTGCTGTCCCTAGGCTCTTCAGCTCAAGGCGAGCGCTCTACTGCTTGCGCCACAGCACCACTTCCAGGTTTCTAGTGGTTTATTGGAGATAGTCTCATGGACAGCCGGGCGCTGGTGGCTCACGCCTGTAATCCTAGCTACTCAGGAGGCTGAGATCAGAGGATCGCGGTTCAAAGCCAGCCCGGGCAGGAGAAACCGTGAGACTCCTATCTCCAATAAACCACCAGAAAACCGGAAGTGGCGCTGTAGCTCAAGTGGTAGAGCGCTCACCTTGAGCTGAAGAGCTGAGGGACAGCGCCCAGGCCCAGAGTTCAAGCCCCACGACCAACCAAAAAAAAAAGAGTCTCATGGACTTTCATGCCCGGGCTGGCTTTGAACCATGAGCCTCAGATCTCAGCCTCCTGAGTAGCTAGGATTACAGGCGTGAGCCACCAGCACCCAGCCACTTTTATTTCTTTTGTGCCTCTACAATGTAGGGTTTTTATTTTCTGATCCGAGACCTAAACTCAGACTCGGTATCTGGTGCTTTCACTCAGCTAGCACGCTACCAAGCCACACCTCCACCCCCAAGTCTGGAGATTTTTAGACCCAGCTTTTCCAATCGGGTTTTCAAAATCTTCCATTTCCTTCTGGAAGGGATGGAATTTCAAAGGGTCACACATGATGGAGGCCCAAAGAGCAAAGAAAACTTTTATGGCCTTCAGGTCTATGGAGGCATTTCCTACGTATGCCTTGATGCCCTGATGCTTAGAGCAGACAGAAGAGAAGGCCCTCGAGTCGGGGGGGGGGGGTGGGGGGCAGGAAGGGGGCGGGGCCTATCCCTGCATGCCCCCACCCCCCATTCATTCCAGTGGGGAGAAGGGTATTGCCCTGCTCCGTGGTTGGATAAACTACTCAGCAGTTTGCCCAGGTTCACATCAGTGTTGATGGGGTCAGGATGTCCCAGTTGTCTTTGCAGCAGCCCTGTATTCTTCCATGGGGCTTCACAGCCCTCAGGCTCTGCCTCCGACCAGCCACTGGGAAGTGACTTGCCCAGGACCAACACTACTGTGCTATTCATAGTGCTCGAAGAGCCAGGTTTCCTGATGCCTACTGGGGCACTGCCAGCCCAGGAATACCTGTCAGCCCCATTCGGGAAACTGCCATTCCTCAAGAAAGATAAGGGACTAGGATCCATTATTCCTAGAATGATTCACTTTGGACTTCCTGCCATTTCCTCTGCTGGAAGTGTACATTCAGCCCTGGAAAGGCCCGTTCTACTGCAGGGTGGGCAGGAAGGCAGGGGAAAGGCAGGCAAGGCGGCTGACACACCCCCTGAAGCCCTGAGCCCCCAGGGCGGCGCGGCAAGCCCCCCACCACTTGGGTCACAGTGAAAAGCTGCCATGGCTTCTCTTTGTCCAGAACATCCCAGAACAATCGTGCATAATTTCTGGCAATGCCACCGCTCATCATCATTTAAACAACGATGTTTTCTTGTGTCCCATCCCATCTTTCCCAGGCTGATGAGTGGGTGGCAGATCCATGTTCAAAGGAAGCTGTCTGCTCTGGCCCAAAGCCAGACTTCCTGGCCTCCCTCCAGGGCTCCCCCAGCACTTGCCAGATTATGGTCTACATCTGTGTTCACAGCCAGGGTAGGAGCGTGTGTGACATGCTAGCATCTTCTCTCTTTGCTTATGAGAAGAGGCCTGTGCCAACTCCAAGCAGCGCCCCAGCCCTGACTCCCCTGACCTCCCCCTGTGCAGATGCCCATCTGGGTGGCGCCAGGCTTGCACACTCCTCATTGCTCCTGTGTCTCCAGCACAGGAGCCTGAACCCAGCCAGCCAAGCACGGCACAGCACATCATGTACAATGGAAAAGGAGCCGAGCACCAGTGGCTCACACCTGTAATCCTCACTACGCAGGAGGCTAAGATCTCAGGATCATAGTTCAGAGCCAGCTCAGGCAGGAAAGTCCATGAGACTCTTATCTCCAGTTAATGACCGAAAAGCTGAAAGTGGAGCTGTGGATGAAGTAATAGAGTGCTACCCTTAAGCACAAAAGCTCAAGAACAGGGCTCAGACCCAGAGTTCGAACCCCAGGACAACACCAAGAAATAATGAGTTAAATGGAAAGGCCGTGACTGATGGAGGGGGGCAAGTTGTGTGCTCAGCCCTAGGAACCTGTTTCTGCCCTGCTTTTATCCATAGTAGTGACCTGCGATGCTGCCTGTGGCCACACTTAGAGCTGCAACCTGAAACCACCCCATGCCACTTGGGTTGTAGAGTTCCTCCTGTAACAGCAGGTTCTAGCAGGTGTGTGGCCCAGCCATCCTCCCTGCCTGGGGTACTTACTTGCCAGCTGGAATGCAGCGGCCATGGCTTCCTCCCAGCACTGGGACTCTGGTGACATCATGGGCAGGCCCGTCAGCCCCAGGACAAAGGTGAGCTGGCCCACCGCGAGGGCTGCCGTCGCCACCAGGTTGCACGCGCGCATCATGTCGAACTGCACTGCAGGCAAGGAGGGAAAGCGGGGATCAGGAGAGCCAATGCGCTCAGGGCCCCACCAGAGGCATCCTTGTTTGGGTCCAGTCGTGGGGCCTGAACTCTGGGCCTGGGCGATGTCCCTCAGCTCTTCAGCTCACGGCTAGCGCTCTACCGCTTGAGCCACAGCGCCACTTCTGGGTTGTTGTTTTTTTTTTTGCTTATGTGGTGCTGAGGAAACGAACTCAGGGCCTCATGCATGCAAGGCAAGCACTCTGTACCACTGAGCCACATTCCCAGCCCCCAGAGGCATCCTTGAAAAGGCAGTAGGCATAGCCAGTGTCTTCTTAGGGCAGAACCTTCTGGAAGCCTCTTGGTCACCTGCCTTGCACCATGCCTCTTCCCAGCCACTAAAGTTATCCCAGCCCGTTTGGCTGCAGCGGCCACGTCTCCCCCGGGCTGGGCCCCGCGTTCCCCAGAGGTGCTGCATGGCGGCTGTAATCAGGGAGATGCATACCAACAGCGCTGTGCTCCCTGCCCCAGGGACCCCCCAAGGGCCCCCTGCCTGTGGTTGAGAGACTTGGGCCTGCAGGGTGGCACTGAGGGACTGGTCTCAGCCTCCAGCAGCCAGCCAGGGCAGAGCAGGGCAGACCTGCTCTGCTGAGCCCAGGCTCTGGTCACTCTGCACACCATGGGACCCTGTGTCTGGATTCTGCCCGCGCCTGCCTCCTCCACGGGGTGCAGCACACCGGGGTCTCAGGAGAGTGGTCAGGGTGGCCGAGCCACGGGGGAGGAGATGGTGTCTGGCAGAGAAACTTCCTCCAGTTCCACCTCCCAGCAAAGCCTGTGCTGCACTTTGGGGGGCCAGGGTCACCCCGGTGTGCCTCTGCTCCACATCACTCTGAGCTGACGTTGAGTCTCACAGGCTGAACTGTCAGCCTCCATAACCGAGAAGACGCAGCCTGCCACGGTGCCCACTGGGAGGTGATCTGTGTGTGAGTGAGGGGGGCCTACAAGGCCCCATTTCCAGAGACTCGCAGTTCCTCAGCCCACTGCCAGTGAGGGGAGCGGGTGCCTGGACAGGGAGGGGCGGGGCTGTGAAATGGCTGAGGCTGCATGCAGCCCCATATGGTTCACCATTCGCTTTTGTGGATGCTCATAGAGTCACGGAATAGTCAGAGCATGATTCCCTGCACCCCACCCCGGCCTGGGGTGCCCCCCACCGGCTTGCTATCCGTCTCTGCTCCTCCACTGCTGCCATTGCCAAAGCCCTGCCCTCTGTGCCCCCCTCCTCCTGCCCCTTTTGGGGACCCCGTTGGTGGAGGTGAAGTTCCTGAAGATACACAGGCCTCCTGGTGTGAGCCCACGGGCCTCAGAGGTCTCTGGCCCAGGGCTCTGCTCTTGGGGGTTCAGTGTGCCCCGGAGTCACCTTCCCACAGGTTGGGGGCGGGGGTCATTGAGAGACCATGGAGGAAAAGTGGCATTTTACCCCATCCCGGAGGGGCAAAAATGTGGGATGAAACCACAGGGCTAGTGGGGCCACCGTCCCCTGCCCGAGGCCCAGCACAACCCACCCGTCAGCAAGCAGGCCACTGTGTGTGACCCACACTCTTCATGGGTCCTGTCTATCTAGGCTTTGGAGTCTGAGTCTTCCAGGGGTTTTATGCCACTTCCCGCGCCAGGGCCCGGCCTGTCCTGCCTGTTGTGTTTTGAGCTGCTTCCTCCACAGCAAAGCCTCCTGTCCCAGATCCCAGGCTCTGCCAACACGTCTGCTCCACCCTGTGGATGGTTCAAACGGCTCTTAGGCTAGCAGGTCTTGAACAGGCTGCATATATAAAGAGCTATGTAGACCTGGGCACTGATGGCTCACACCTATAATCCTTGCTCCTCAGGAGGCTAAGATGTAAGGGTTGTGGTTCAAAGCCAGCCTGGACAGGAAAATTCATTGAGACTCTTATCTTCAGTTTACCACCAAAAAACCCAGAAGTAGAGCTGTGGCTCAAGTGGTAGAGAGCTAGACTTGAGCAACAAAGCTCAAGGACAACACCCAGGCCTCAAGTTCAAACCCCTAAGACCAGGACTAAATGAATTAAATGCAGATCCCAGTCTAGATCTGTCCTCCATAGTTCAGGTACAGTACAGTCCGGAAGGACGTAGAGAAATGTTCTTTGACCATGGCACCGCAGCCTGTGGCCTGGGCAGATCACCGCACAGGGGCTTGCCGAGGTGGAGGGCTGGACACCGGGGCCCCCAGACCCTCACCCTGCACAGCGGCGGGGCTGAGACCTGTGGTTTCAGGGGCGGCCTGAGTGGCGTGGCTCAGGACATGCGTGTCAGTGCAGTGAGACCAGAAACCGGAGCACAGACCTGACTGCCGGCCTGTCCTGCCCTGCCCTGCACCGTCCTCCCTCTCGTCCTCTGCCTGGGCTGACTCTGTGTCCCCGGCGGCGGCCCTGAGTGCACAGCACTGTGCTGTGTGCCACGCAGGCCTCTGCCGGGTTCGATCCCTATGGGTCGCTGCTGAGCTGCCAACCCCAGGCCTGCAGCCCCGCACCCAGAGGCTCGCCGTACTGGCATTTCACCAGTGGTGCCACCTTGTGTGCAGCCCTAGACACCCGCATGAGAACGTGGACAGGCCATGTGCAGACCCTTGGCGGCGCTAGGGGCGCCTGGAGCCCAGCTGCACCTCATCAAGCTTCACTCATTGCTCGTGTACAGCCAGGGTTCAGAAAAGGACTTGAGGTGCCTGGAAGACCAGGGGCACAATGGGGGACAGAATCATCAGGAGAATCCTCCATGATCCCCTCAGCAAAGACCCAGTGCGATGTGGGAGGGCTACAGGGGCCTGGACAGGACAAACCTAGGACTCGCCCTCCCAGCCCCAATCCAGCATGCCTGGGACACCCGGCAGCACAGAGGGCCCTGGCCGGCTTGGAATGTCATAGAGTAGCCCACGTGTCCCTGGTCCCTTGGGCAGGCCACTTGGGTGTTTGCCAGTGACATGATGGTGACCCTGCCCTGGCATGAGACATCGTCTCTACCAGGTGCCGGTGGCAGTGGCTCACGGCATGGCCCTGTTACCTGTCCTTCCCCCTTTCTCCTACCCCCCCCCCATGTCCTGTGCTGGTTCTCAAGATAGCGTTGTCTGCAGCCACAGACGGTACTGAGGGGTTTGCAGAGAATGCCAGCTAGGGTGTGAGAGGTGTTTGTCTAGCTGGCCCCCAGGAGGGCTGAGTTGTGACCCAGCTTGGGTCAGGGAATGTCTCAAGGACAGGCTTGGCTAAAGGCGGGGCAGGCGGCAGGTGGTGTGGCAGACCAGGGCATGGGCGCACAGGCCCACGCATTGCCAGCTCTGCGGGCAGAACAGCCTCTACCAGCAAGAGTGGCAAGTGAGTGTCATCGGGAATGGAGGGATCAGACCCCACCAGGCGAGAAGACAGGGCCGTGCCGGCCTCAGTTTCTGTGCCTGGGACGTGAGGATGGCGTTGCCCCAACCCAGGCTGTATGTGTGCTGTGGTCCGGGGACCGGGCCAAGAACCAGCAGCCATGCAGAGTGGTGCTTAGGACCGAGGAACTTGCCCTCAGCCAACTAAGCCTCATCTCTCCAAGGCCGGTGTTGTCCCTTCCCAGCAGGAGCCTGCTACCCTCAAGGCTCCGTGGTGGTCCACAGTAGAGTCATCGGCAGATGCATGCGTGGCTGCCTGTTTGCTATTTATGCCTCTGTCTCCTCCTTCCCCCCAAGCCCGAACGCGCCCCCCCCACCTCCACTCTCCCACCACCCGGCTGTTCACAGCCCCAAGGCCCTGACCACCATGGAAATGAACTTAGAACTCGCCCACACAGTCTCGAGCTTCTAGTTTATTGTACTCATCATATCTATTTTCAACCAAGGAAAACCGTCTTTCTTCAATGTGATTAGTATACCACGCAGAGTGGTAGAAAGGAAGCCCCGGGGGCGTGCGACAAATTCCCTACAAAACAAGGGATGACCCTCCGGCCTTGCCCACCAGTGGGGGTGGGGCGGGACCTGACCCCCCCCCCCCCCCCATCCCCTGGATGCAGCCCCTCTGAAGAGGACAGGAAAGCAGGCAGACTCACGTTTGACGGTGCCTCGAGACTCCTGGAAGCCTGCCGACTCCGAGCCCCAGCCCAGCGCCTCACAGTCCTGCGCGTCCACGTGCTCAGCTCTGGCCCCGGGGCTCGCTCCTCCCCGGCCCCTGTCCACCAGCCAGCAGGATCTCCACAGCCCCACGCTCCGCTTGCGCCCATCCTCCAGGGTCTGGTACACCCAGTTGGGAGTAAAGGCAGCAGCGTTGTTGAGGATGAGGGAGACCAGGGCCACCAGCACAGCTGTGGCCACAAGTTTCTGGACAGTCATCGCAGATTGCTGGTGTGGTCCGTTTGTCTTGGAGAAAATCCCTAGTCCCAGTCAGCCGCGGGGCATGCAGGGAGCGCCGATGCAGCTAGGGCAAGCTAGAGAACATCGCCGCTCATTCTCGGAGGCCGAGCAGCAGCTCCAGCTGGGCGCACCCACGTCGCAGCGGTGGAGAGAGGCCCATGGGACAGGTCCAGGTGAGCCGCTCACCGCCCTGCCTTACCCTCCCTCCTGCACCTGGAGGAGGGCCAGGCCTGTGCTGAAGCTGGGCACCAAGAGGCCCATCCCAGGAAGAAAACGGGGACAGGAGCGTGAATCCAGAGTTGTGAGTGTGCCGTCTTCCCAGGAAGCGGAGGCCCGGGAGGCCGAGGCCGAGGCACCCCTCTGTCCTGTAGCAGCGGAAAACAAAGTTACTCAAGAGGGAGGCCCAGCGTGGGAATCGGCTGGCTCACGCTCCACAGCTGGCTGTGGGAGCCGCTCCAAGCGGAACTCGGGGAGCGGTGTGGGTTCAGCTGCCTCTCTGCCGTCCAGGCCCCTGCCTGGTGCCTCCGCCACGAGTGGCAGGTCCTGGAACGCAGAGCGGCTGCTGCAAGAAAGTGTGTGTGTGCGCGCGTGCCTTTCCCTGTCTCTCAGCAGAGAGGAAATGGTTGTTTTTGAAGCTGTTTTTGGTGAGCAGGAGGGCGTCACCAACTGGCTGCAACAAATAGCAGACCTGCGCAGAGCCAGACACTAACAGGATGCGTTTCCTGATGGGAAAGGCCTGGGAGACTTGTGGGGCCCCCCTCCAGCCCGCCCTCCCTGCCACCGCCCCCCCTCCAGCCCGCCCTCCCTGCCACCGCCCGCCCGCCTGCCTGCTGTCCCAGAGGAGAGGCTGGGGATGCCGGCTCGAGTACTCCTCCCTCGCTTGTCACTCCTGAGCCTGGCCAGCTGCAGAAGCGGCTCCCGTGCTGCGCCTGGAGCCTAAGGGGCCAGGCACCCAGCCACCCACAGGCTCCCCGCACCTGGGCGCCTGCAGTACTCTGCAGTTGCTGTGTTCTGTCCACATAGCCTTGGGTGCACGCTCTTGGGGTGTTATTCAGGCAGAGCTTTTTGCTTTTTGTTTATTTTAGATGGCACTGGGGATGGAAGTCAAGGCCCCTCACTTGCTAGGTAGGCGCTCAGTCATTCAGGGAACAAAAAGTTCTGTTGCCAGCTAGTTCCTGGGCCGTTAGATCGCAGGCATTTCCTATGGCCATGTATGTGCCCTGGCCTGGCCAGCGTGCTGCCCCAAAGCCCCCCACTCCCCAGGATTGGCGCCTCCAGTCACATGGCTGCGTGTGAAGTCAGCACTGACCACTTTGGGCCAAGGGTTTATTCCTCATTTCCCTAAGGGATTTTACCTATTTTAGGGGTTTTCCCCACTGGAGGTTTTACCCAAACAGACTTCTTTCTGCTCTCCATTCTTGGATCTTGGTTATTAGCCTCTGTGCCACCACTGTGTGGCGAGTTGTCAGCACTGCAAGCCTCGTAAGTCATGCAGGGGATGGGGTGCCATGCATCCTTGCTCACACCAAAGACCCTGGGTATCGGGCACCCGTGGCTCACCTCTAATCCCAGCTAGCCAGGAAGCCGAGACCTGGAGGATCAGGCTTCAAGCCATTCCAAGAAGCGAAGGCTTTAAGACTCCCAACTGCAATTAACCAGCAAAATGCCAGACTGGAGGCATGTCTCAAGTGATAGAGTGCCAGTCATGAGCAAAAAAGCAAGAAACCAAAAAGTGGGACCTCTGAGCTCAAGCCTGGTGCGGCACAAAAGGAAATGGAAGAAGAGACCCACGCCCACATCCACCACCCTTGGCAGGATAGCCACTGTTCCCCATCACTCCCTCCCCAGGAAGATTCGGGGTTCATCGTCTCCAGCAGTCAGTGTTCCCACGGGCATCGTGTGCCAGCTGGCTTTGGAATCCCAGTGTACCCTGCACTAGAAGAGAATCGGGAGGGTGATGGCCCTTCCTGGGATGAAACTTCTCAGGCTCCAAGGTTCCTGTGTGACTCCTGGGGAGGCCAGGGCCTTCCCCCCACCCCTCCCGCCCCGGCCTCCATGACGCTCCTTCCTGTTCTGCCTGCTGTCCGCTGACCTTGGCGGTGCCTTGCCTTCCAGTCTGACTGCAGCCCCCAGCCGTGCAGCCGCCTCCCCTGCACCCAGACACACGGAGCAGCGTGGCTGGGCAGCTGCAGGTCCCCTAGCTGCCCACTGTCCCGACAGAGGACTTCTGCAGAAAGCCCAGTCCCAGCTCAGGGCCGCCTCTCCACCCGACAGCCACATCTGCTTCTGATTTCAGGCGCCCAGGGCTGATGAAGGACAGATGTGGTCACTCCTCGCAGACACTTGGACAACAGGAAACTCTCAAGACTTGGACGGGACTCAGAGGGTGTTCACTTCTTGGAATTTATGTCATATGCACAGTCCAAAACTCCAGGCTGGAGTTCGAGCTAGCCCAGGCTTGGCAAGCTGTGCGTGGAATGCTGAGAATGGCGTGGGGGTTGAGGCCGACTTGGGCTGGAAGGCCGCTGCGGAGCACGCTGTGCGGGCGGCAGGCGGCCGCTCCCCTGGGTCCAGGCTATTCCGGCAGCTCTGGACTTGGCAGGGGGCGGGGAGCCTGCTTTCCCATGGCTTATGCAGTGGCCTTAGCCCTGGCCTTCCAAACAAACCCTCTCAGCACTGGGCCTGGCTGGGCTGTACTTCCAGAGCCCCCCTGACCACTGATGAGAGCTGTGTTCACGCAGAAGACCACATGGAAATGACCCCAGCGTTTCAACAACATGGACGGGCCTTTGTTACACCCAGGGCCAGAGAAGCACAGGGACACTGAGTTAAGTCTAACCACCCTGGCAAAGAGCACTCTGCCAGGGAGCCTCAGATCACATGCCAGCTGCCTCTGCCCCCAGGGAAGTCCTGCACTTACCATCACTGGACACAGACGCAAGCTGCCATTCGCTCTCAAGACCAGCCAGAAGAAAGGAAGCTACTCTAGCACAAAGCGGCCAAGAGGCCCGCGCCGCCCAGCCTGGCCCCCAGGCCTTGGGAGAGGGTTCTGTCCTGTGAAGTCGCTTGGAACAGAGCGTGAGGGACTTCTGGCCACCGGGGCCTCTGACACCTCTCTTGCAGCCAGCCCAGAAAGGCAGCCGGCGCTGGGCCGCACGAGGACCGTCGCAGAAGTGCCGTCGGGCACACTGACGCCACCGAGCACGCTCACACAGGCCCGTGCACACACAGCTGGGTTGTGTGCAGATGGCGGGGGCCCGGGAGCCCTCCAGGAGAGGCTGCCTGTATCTTGTCCCTTTGAGGACACCTAGTCTTACACTCGTGGCCCTTTCTCATTTAACCAGTGCCTCCAGCAGAGGAGGGAGCAGCTGTGGGTCTGTGTGCTGAGACAGTGCTCCCTTGCCTGGCAGTCCTGACAAAAGGGGCAGAACAGCCTCTGACACGGGCCAGCGGCGGCGGCCGCAGGCAGGGAGGGAGGCCCCGGGCCGCAGCCCCGCGGCAGCTACCCGCTGCTGCCTCCCAGCCGCCGTGACTCGTCTGGATTCCAAAGCCAGAGGATGCGGCCTGCTTCCTGGGGGACAGACGGGCACCCGGTGATGGGCACCTCCCGGGGGCCCCGCCACGCTGGGTGTTACCTTCACCACAGCAGTTCTTTTGTGTATCCTAGGAATCGTGGGCCTGCCGGTGAGAGGCCCCAGGAGAGGCCGACAAAGGAGGAGCCCCAGGGGAAGGGGGTGGACGTCTCTCCCCCACCCCCGGCAGGCTGGTCCCGCCTGGGGTTTAGGTAGATGTGTCTACCCGGTTCCCAGCCCAGTGCCACAGGCATACGCGCAGCCTCTGGTCCAGCCTTCCCTCGTACTCCAGGGGTGTCCTGCTGAAACACGTGTGTCTTGCCTGCCCTCCCAACACCCCAAGACATGCATCTGCTAAACCAGTCATGACAGGACCCAAGCAGACCTGACTGTGTCAGCATGCAAGAAAGGCCACCTGGAGGTGTGGCTTCAGTCCCGGCCCCCACAGCCATGGCCTCCCTGGACAGAGCCCGGGAGTGGCCTCCACGGCGCCCCTGCCTCAGCAGCTCCTGCTCTAGTTCCGTCCACACTGTGGACCCTGAGATGCAGGTCTTCCTCCATCATGCAGACGCACGATCGCAGCGGGACATGACCTGACTACTTACCTTCTCCAGAGGACCACCCTCCCAGTCCTCTGCTGGGGCACCAGTACCCTCACTCATCAGGACCGTGACCGCTTCTCGTGGGCCTCTGCCCTCCCACGTCCCTTAGTGCAGCCAGGTCTGCAAGGCTGGGATGTAACAGGCCTGCTCCACCTCCGGGAGGGGGCTGCACCCGCCTGTCTTATCTAGAGAGGGGCTGGAATGCGGTAGGAGGGCCTGGGAGGGAGTCTCCATCAGACACCCTGCCTGCGTCTGCCGGGCCCCAAGGCCACTCCCAGGGTCTGTTCCGTAGCAGTGCTGTAGTCCTAAGTCTTGATGGCTCCTGCCTGCAATCGGGAAGGTCAGCCATTCTCTCGCAGTGGTTGCATCTATGATCCCTGCTTTGTAGAAGGCCTCAGATAAGATCATCACTGTCCAAGAGACTGGCAGCAACATGAGACCCTGTCTGAAAAATGACTATGGAGAAGAAGGCTGGGATGTGGCTCAGTGGCAGAGTGCCAGCCTAGCAACCGAGACACCTTGAATTCAAAAAATATCCAAAAACACAAGAATGATCACTGTTCCCAGCCAGCCTGGGTGGAAAGGCCGGTGGACCTCCATCTCAGCCCGTCTCAAAAATAACCAGCATAACACTATGGCTGGGTCTGCAGTTCCGCACAATACCTGCCCCCAAACCAGAAGAACCGCATGTGGTGCGGAGGAAATGGCCTCACAAGCACACATTCCCCTGCCTTTCCCCAGGGAGTTCATGAGAGACGTGCAGCTTTGGGGGGGGGGGTGGGACTTGTGCGTGGGCCAGTCCCCTGGCGAGTGCTTGGGACTGGTAGCTGACCAGGCTCCTCTCTGTCCGCAGCGAAGCCGTCTGGGAGAACATGGCACGCATGTGTGTCAAAACCCAGCGTCTGGACGTGGCCAAGGTGTGCCTGGGGAACATGGGCCACGCCCGCGGGGCACGGGCGCTGCGGGAGGCCGAGTCTGAGCCCGAGCTGGAGGCCAGAGTGGCCATGCTGGCCATTCAGCTGGGCATGCTGGTGAGTGGTGCTGCCCCCCGGGGAGGCTGATGGGAAGGCAGGCGCTGTCAGCTCTTGTGGGGCCCAGGCCTGGGGAGGACATGCAGAGGGTGCGTGTTGGACTCTGGCGCCTTCTACGCCCTCTGAGTTCATCGCACATCTGCTTTCCCAGAGGGGCCCAAAAAAAGCTAACTTGTGCCATCAGATTGAGGCCGAGGGTACCGTGCAGCCTTGAGCAGCGGGCTGCACTTGTGAGCGAGGGGCAGCTCTGAGGAGGGGGCTGCTGTCCCCGGCGCTGTTGTGCGCGAGGCTGGCTGGCTGGACCAGGCCCCTCTCCAGCCGGCCATGGAACGCCATGCGGGAGGGTGAGGTCGTTCTCCGTGCGGCACCTCAGACACCCAGGGTATCGGACGCCAGTGCCTGCTGT